AATTTCGAAATGGAAGTTGGAGAATGAATTTAGGGAATATTTTTGGATATTAAATAAATATATAATATATAATATATAATTAAAAAAAAAAAAAACAAACAAATAAAAAAAATTCTTTTTTTTTATAGATTTAATTATTTATAAATTTCTTTTTTTTTTTTATTAAAATTAATATAATAAGAAAAAGTATAGAAATTAAAACAAAACAAAATGAAACAAAAAAAAAATTTTTTAAAGAAAAAAAATATAGATAAAAGAAAATAAAAATAAAAAAATTAAAAAATTTATTTAAAATAAAAATTAAAAAATTTGGGTGTGATTATTGATGATGTTGAGAATGATTACCAATACAAATTTTTAATTTCTTTTAAATACAACAATAGTATCTATTATATATAGTTGTGTGTGCAATACAAACCAGTTTTCTTCAATATATCATTTTTTTTTAGATTTTTTTTTTTTTTTTTTTTTTTTGAATTTTAATTTATTTTTTTATTTTCATTTTTTTTTTAATTTTGTTGGGGGAGTGATTATTTTTTTAATATTTATTAGTGGAAGGGATATTAAATTGCCCATTTTTTTCCCCATAATCCATACATATAGTAATAAAAAAACCTTTTGGGTTTTTAAAAAAAAAAAAAAAAAAAAAAAAAAAAAAAAAGAGATTTTAAATTAAATTGAATTGAGTTTAATGGGGTTTTATTATGAAAAGATTTTTGGTGTGTTGAATTTAATTAAAAAAAAAAATGAAAAAAAAGGAAATTTGTTATTCACTTTCTATTTACTATATACTATTTACCACATATTTAAATTTTTTTATTTATTTATTTATTTATTTATAAGTTTATTATTTATTTATTTTATTTTTTTTTAATTATTTAGTGGCTAGCCATTATGAATTTTTTTAATGTTGGAACGAAAAAAAAAACTAAATTCCCCCTTTTTTTTTATTTTGATATAAAAATTTTTTTTTAAAATATAAAAAAAATTAAAATAAAAATTTTTTTATTTTAAAATTTTTAATTATGGTTGTATAAACAATTTTTCCCTTATTTATTATCATTTGTTCTTTTATATATAATACTACTCCATAGATTTTAGAATACCAATTTATCTATTTTTATATTTTCATTTATTTTTCAACAAATGCAAAATGGCAGATAAAAAGGTTTTAAGGTCGTCCCCAAACCTAACAGAGGAACTTATGAGAATCTATGATCAATTAAACAACTCTAGAAAATACCCATCACAAAAAAAAATTGCAGAACAAATAATAAAATCTAAACAATTTGAACAATTTACACCCAATCAAATTATATCCAAGATTAGGAGTATGAAGAAAAAAATATACCCTGCCTCCTCATCAGCAACTTCAAGTATATCAAACAGCCCCACTATAGAATTAGCCAATGAAATGGATTCTATATTTGAAAACAGATCAACTACAGGTATTACATATGATGAGGAGGACCAAAAGGATGATTCAGAAACCGAGCAAAATGATTATTACCAAAAGGAAGAGGAGGATGATATCGATGAAGAAGAGACCGAAGAGGAATCAAATAAATACATAGACAAAACAAATGAGACTTATACTGACAATAATAAAGAAAATGATGAAGGAGAAAATTTTGAAAATGACCTTTCACTTAGAAGAATATCAAGTGAAAGTTTACAAACAACAATCGAAAAATTATTTGAAGACTCTTTAGAAAAAGTAAATATTTGAAAAATTTAAAAAAATAAAAAGAATTTAGTATTAACAAACTAATATTTATTTTAGAATAAAAAAAGGGAAAATTCACCATCATTCGAAAAAGATTGTAATAAAAAGAAAAAGTTAGATTTGCTTAATCTTAATAACCAAGAAGATGATGAAGAACGCACTTGGTACAACAACTTTATCAATGAAGATAACATAGACTCTAACCAAAATGTAGATTCAAAATTTGAGGAAATGCTAACAAGCTTGGGTATAAATATTGATAGTGCCACACAAGCAGAAAATCTCTACAATAGTATTTTAAATAATAGCAATAACACGAATTACAACAATAGCAGTAATAGTAGTATTTATAAAAACTTTGCACTTGGTACAATACCCTCCCCAACGGCAACAACTCCAACAACAACCCCAATAACAACCTCAGCAACAATTAAACTGTTTAATGAGGACTCTAAAAATATAATAAACGTATCACCACCCCCAAAAAATAAACATTGCAACATTGAAAATGAGAATAGTAATAATAACAATGAATATATAACGAGAGAATATTTAGAAATGAAAAATACTATTCAAGAACAAGCCAATACCATTTTACAACTAAAAAGCATTATTGATGAACTTCATATCGATAGTAGAGTACTCTCATCAGGATCAGCACAGGTTAGAAGAGATTCAGAAAAAAACCTTTTTTATTTTTTTCCATCACTCATTTCAAATGGTATTCAAAATTTAAAAATTGAACCATGTTTATCCCCATGCCATCACAAAGTAATAGTCGAAGAGTCTGGTAACGGTAATTTCCGCTCCCAAATATTTTTATTAAAAAAAAACAACGAATACAACCCTCCATCCATTGTAATTCATAATTCTCAAATGTCAATATTTTTAAAGTATAACCCGCCCGAATATTTAAGAATGAGTTGTTCATTAGAAGACACTTAAATAAACTAATAATTGTAAAACTAGAATTATATTTATTTTTTTTTCAAATAATTATTTAATAAATAATAAAAGCAAATCGAATTTTAATCTATATGGTTTAAGTGGGGTGATAAATAAAAATTAAATTTTGCTTAAAAAACTATATAATATTTTTTTTATTTTTTTTTTTATTTTTTATTTTTTTTATTATAAATAACATTATTAATATTATAGGTAGCGACTTAACACACTATTAAGATTGTCTTGATGTTATTTGACTCTTTTTTTTTTTTTTTTTTTTTTTTTTTTGATTTTGGTTTTTGTATGTTGCTGTTATTTTGTTAATTATTGATTTAGTTATTTTAATTGTGTTGTTATTGTTTTTGTTGCTGTGTTGAGTTTCTACAGATTTGTATCAATATAAATTATAAAAAAAAAAAATTAAGATAGATTGTGTTTTTTTTGTTTTTTTTTTTGTTTGTTTTTATAAATAATCAACTTCGTTTGGAATGCCATTGTGTGGTCTTCTAAAAAGGAGGATATGTGGCTCTGGTTTATGATTAGCATAGTGTTGCCATCCATCTGATTGTCTGATACCGAAACGTCTGCAGTCTTCTTCAGATAATAATACATCTCTTGGGATAAGTGCTGAAATATCAGGTGGTAAAATAACATGTCTTAAAAAAAAAAAAAAAAGAAATATTAATATTTGTTAATTAAAAAAAAAGAAAATGAAAATAAAATTATTCTTTTTATTTCTATATATAAAAAGATTTTATTTTATTTACCTATATTCAAATTGGCTATCGTAATATTTATTTGAATAGAATGGTGTTGATGGCATTTTTTATCTTGTATATTAATAAATATTTAATAGTTTCTATGTACAGTATGAAGTATTTATGTATATATAATTTATGTGGATATGTGATGTTGATACTTGTTGGGAAAGTAAAAAATATTTATCATTTAAAAAAAAATTAAGTTAAAAAAAAAAAAAAAAAAATTTTAAAAAAAATTTTAATTTTTGAAATGGGAGGGAAAAAAAAAAAAATTAAATAATATTATCAAATAATATTAATATTAATTTTATTGAACCCAAAAAAGATTTTAATTAGCACAGAATAGTCTGTTAATATATTTTTAAAAAAAGAAAATTAAATTAAAAATCTATCAACCTTTTAAAAAATAAAAATAATAAATAATAATAAAAGGGTTATTTAACAACAAAAGTTGATTTATAATAAAAAAGAAAAAACTAAACAAAAAAAGGAAATAGAAATACTGATTAATAACTATAGTTGTTATTATAAATAGAAATATGATATAATTGTTTTTTTAAAATTTTTTTTTTTTTAATTTTTTTATTAGTTTTTTTTTTTTCTATTATTATAATTTGACTAAAATAAGGTATCTTCATCTCTTAAATATTCACCAACATCACCATAATGATAAACTACTAATGCAGTTGGATCTAATTTTCTACATTCAAAAGTTGATTTAGCGGTAACACCAAAACCAATTGGTACATCATTCATTGTAAATAAAACAACACCTTGATTTGCAGGTGTATCTTCAGTAATTCTACCCAAACCAGCTTTTAATAAATTATTACCATACATCCATGACATTTCTGAAGTTGGTTTAACCCATACTTTATATTTAGCATATTGTGCTAAGTAATCTAAACATGTAATATTTAATTTAAATTTTCCGGTTTTTGTGAAACGTCCAAAGCATGTACCTAAACTTGCTAATGAATCTCTTGGTATATTTTGTGATCTTTTCATTAATTCTTCGCTAACATAATAAACTTTATTTTTTTGTATTCTAAAACAGTATGGCTCGTCTTTTCTTTGTATTAATAATGTTACATTTTTACCAATACTAAAAATTAAAATAAAATATTATATTAATATAAAATTATTTTTAAATGGTATTTTAAATTATTTAATTTATGATATTTGATGATTTTATTATCTTTAATATTGACTATATTAGACATATTATTATAAGGTGTGTTTTTATAATTTGGTAGTTATTTTTGGTTTTTTACTATATATATTATAAAATTATAGTGGTAATGTAAACTTTACAATTTAATTAACTTTTCAAAAAATACTTTTGATTCTTCTTCTGTTAAAGGTCTCATTTTTATGTATGTATATATATATATAAAAATATTCCTTTATTAAAATTTAAAAAAAAAATAAAAAAAAAAAATAAAATATTTAAAAAAATTCTCTCGGTTTCATAAAAACGAAAAAAAAAAAAAAAAAAAAAAATTAAAAAAAAAAAAATTAAAAATAAATTTTTCTTATTTATTTTTTATTCTAATTTTAATATATGGTTGTATAAAAAAGGGATATATTAAATATTTGATTAATATTCTATATTTAAACTTGATTTTAAAAAAGAAGTGTTTCTTTTTCTTAAAAAATGATTAATTATTATTTATTATCATAAAAAAAAACAATTCTTAAATTTAACTAAAAAATAGTAAAATACAAATTGAATATATAACTAATTAGTGCAACACTAATCTTTTATTTTCTTTTATTCTATTTTTTTCCTTTTCTTTATGTATTATTTTAAATAATTTATACTTTTAATTTATGAATTAAAAAAAAATAAAAAATAGTGTTAAAAAAATAAAAATAAAAAAAATAATCAAAATATTTTTATTTATTTTATTTTTATTTTTATTTATAAAACTTATGTAGTCAATTATTATTTTATTTATATTGATTTTATTTTTAATAATAATTAACTCATATTTAAATTTTAAATAAAATTAATAAACGAAAAATTAAAATATTTTATATGGATGCATAAAAAACTGATAACAAACCATATAAAAATTAAAAAAAAATTTAAAAAAAAAAAAAAAAAAAAAAATTTAAAAATTTTTTAAAAAAAAATTTGCCTCAGCGAGCAACGCACATTTTTCACGCATTACTCTTATATTCGCTTCTTCGAACAGATAGATAAATTATTTCCATATAAAATGTCAACTGCTACCGCCCCAGTCAGAAGATCAGGTATTATTAAAGGTTACAACAAAGGTCACCCAGTTGTCAAACGTACCGTTCCATCAACCTTCAAAAAACAAGTATGTTGAAATACACATTGGATATATCATCAATCTTTGTTAGATTATCACATTTATTGGAATATCACTATCTCAAATCATTTATCTTTGGATTATCCATCATCTTTCATCATTTATCCACAAAGTTTGATATTAATCAAACATTTTTTTATTATTCATAGGTTGTCACCAAACGTGTTGCCGCCATCCGTGATGTCATCCGTGAAGTCTCTGGTTTTGCTCCATATGAACGTAGAATTCAAGAGTTATTAAAATCAGGTTTAGATAAACGTGCTCTCAAAGTTGCCAAAAAGAGATTAGGTTCAATCCAAGCTGGTAAAAAGAAGAGAGATGAAATGGCCACTGCCAACAGAAAGAAATAAACATTTAGTCTAATAAACAGATTTAAAAAAACTCAGCATTTTATAGGGTGTAAATTTTAGGGTTTGGAATGAGAAGTACCACTACAAATATATATTTTAGGTTTTTAAACAAAGAAGAGAAATTTTATGCATATTGGATCATAAATTTGTAGCGGTATTATCATCCAAAGTAACCCTTTTTCTTTTTATTTTTTTTTATTAATTTATGTCATTTTTGCGATTGCTTTCTTACCACATGTAAAAATATCAATTAATATAGTAATTGGATGTAAAAAAAATAGATCAGTTTAAAAATCGAGATATATTATTCGAATTGAATTCAATTAATATTTATTTACTTTTTTTTTTATTTTTTTTATTTTTTTATTATTTTTTTTTAATTTTTGTAATTTGTTGTGATTTCATTTATAAAAAATTAATTTTTTTTTTTTTTTCCATTTTTTATTAATTTTTTTTACAACATCAGTATTATTATTATTGTTATTGTTATATTATTACATCACACAATTTATTACACTTTCAAAAATGGGTGTTTATGTTAGCCAAAGGGCCAGAGACAACATTAAAAAATATAAATACTCTGGATGTGACTCATCTTTTATTTCAATATATATTATGACTCCATTTTGGAATTGGTTTGTTAATTTATTACCAAAATCATTTGCGTAAGTAAAATTATATTATACAATACAATTGTGTAATAAAGTTTATTTACCTTTTTTTTTAAATAGACCAAATCTAGTTACTTTGTTTGGATTTATTTCAATTATTGTTAGTTATTTAGTTACATTATATTATATGCCACAAATGAGCGGAGAAGCACCAAAATGGTTATATTTATTCAATGCATTTTGTATTTTCATTTATCAAACAATGGATGCAGTTGATGGCAAGCAAGCAAGAAGGGTTAACGCTAGTTCAGGCTTAGGTGAATTATTTGACCATGGATGTGATGCAATGATCACTTTTCTCGTTATGCAAACATTCCAATCATCAATTCAAGTAGGCTGCAACCAAATCTCTTTCTTTACCACTCTTTTCATTATGTTGGTTTTTTTCACCGCTCAATGGGAACAATATCACACAGGTATAATGAATTTAGGTTATTTCGGACCAACAGAATCGCAATTTGGTATGATGACAGGTCATATTTTAACATACTTTTTCGGCCCAGAGTTTTGGTCTCGTACAATCAATATTTTAAATTTTAATATTCAGATTAATCACTTTGTATTAATATTAATTATTGCTGGTGGAGTTGGTACAATATTTTTAAAGTAAGTTTACCAAATAGTATTATTATTTTTTAAATTTATTAACTTTATTTTTATTTTATTTTTAAATTTAATTTTTTTTTTTAGTATTTATGCAATTTGTAAAAGAGGAAATAATAGTGTAGTTTCAAGCTTTATCGATTTATTGCCAATTATCTCTTTAATTATATTTTCAGTTTATTGGGGTCAAAATTCAACAGTTAATATTCTCGAAACAGAGGGAGCACATTATTTTATGGCCTCATTTGGTATTTTAGCCGCTTTTATTACTGGTAAATTAATTTTGGCTAGAATTTGCATGGATAAACTATCACCTATACAAACCATTATGGTACCACTTATTTTTGTATTTTTAAATATTTATAAATTTAATGGGTATGTATCAAACTGTAATCATCAATTTACCATATAATAATATATTAATTTTTTTTATTTTTTTATTTTTTTTATTTAAGAACACTTTTCGATGAAATATTATTTAGCAAGATTTATTTTTATTCTATTTTTGTATTGTATATTCATTTTGCATATGATGTTGTTACTTCTTTAACAGAAGTTTTAGATATTTATTGTTTCAAGCTTAAGCCACACACACAATCTTCAAATCCTCAATCATCATCAAAAAAAACCAAATAATTTAATAAATTATATTTTCTTTATTTCTTTTAGATATTTTTTTTTTAGTACAATTTTTTTTTTAATTTTTATGATGTGGATGATAAAGAATTTATAATTAAAATTTTTTTTTAAAACAGATATTCTTTATTAAAATTATGTTATGAAAAAAGTTTTTGAATCCAAAAAGTATTATTCAATAAAGTCACGAATTTTCTTATATTACTTTGTCACACTCTACTTCAAGGAAAATTATCAGAATTTATTATTTTCAAGTGTTATTTTTTTTAAAAAAAAAAATATTTTCCCATAACAATTATTATTATATTTTTTAGAACCCAATTAATTAAATTTAATGAATAGTAAATTTTAAGGATTTATTACAGCATTTGTCTATTAAAGGAGTAGAATAGCTGGGAGAGATGATCGCCTGTGAAATACCAGCACTTTAAAAAAGAAGCATGGATCCTGTCTTTTTATTTTTTTATAATATAGTTTTATAAAAAATAAAGTGAATTTTTTTTAAAAAAAAACTGTAAATACTATCTCTTCACTAATTAAATACACATAATATTTTCATAAAGTGTTGTAAACTGATACAAGTATTAAACATACCCAAAAACAAAATACAATAAATAAATATTCTGATGACTTTATGTATCATTTTCGCACTTAAAAAAAAAATCATTAAGAGAAAATTATAATTTTGTTTAAAAGACATTTTTTATTGGTTTTAAGCAATAGAATTATAGGTAGCACTATATGTGGAACCAATAATTTTATTTTTAATAAATGAAGCACCATCAGATATTAAACCACCAAGTTTAGACCAAGAATCTCTGTTTGGGATAATATCCAAACCAGATTTTTGATTATAGAAACGATTGATTAAAGCGCCACCTATAAAATAGGTTGTAGAGAAACAGATCAGTCTAAAAAAAAAAAAAAAAAAAGTTAGTTATTTCAAGTTTTATGATTAATATTAATTTAAAAATATTTACACTATTAAAAATACCCAGCCACCACCAAGCTTTTTATTTGAGGGAGTTAAGTTGTGAGGAATGTTATAGCAATTGCCAATTAGTTGTATATTATCTTTACTTCTTTCACCACTAGCAAATGCTGCTTCGTCATAGGTGAAAGAGACTGGAGAGCTAGCTAAAGTGATATTATAATACATATCATTATAGTAGAGATAATAATGTCCATTGAATAGTGTATCCAACTCGTCAACCAAACCTGCTACCGTTTGATTACTAATATGTGAGATGTTTAACATTGCTGAATAAAAATCTATAACCTCTTTATTATTTCCACCATCTTGGATAAGATTTGGAGGTCCAATAGAGTAAATTGTTATGAAATCTCTATTTGAAATGATGTCAGTTTCATTAATATAGTTGCCACCTAAATCTATATTTATAATTATTATTTTAATAAAAGAGAGGTATTAGTATGATTTTATATAACAATAGCAATGGTAATAACAATCTATATTTACTGTATAATGCATTAACACCTTCCCAAACAAAATCATTACAGATTCTTGAAGATATCTCAGTTTCATTTGTTAATGAATCTATAACATCAAATAGTTGATACCAAGTGTAGGTTTTGTTATAGTTATTTGCCCAACATACAAATGTCTCAAAAATATCACCATCAATAGTCATAATCTCTTGAGATTGAACCCAATAGTTTGAGCCATTAATATAATCTTTAACCTGTACTTTACCACCAGTATCCCACATAATGGTGTCAAATATAACACCTTTTGGTAATACTGATTCTAATACACCTGGATATGCTACAAAATCGATTGTATACTGTTCATCGGTTGTTCTGTAGGAAATAAGTTAATAGGCTATTTTCTAAAGTTCCAATTCTGTATAAGATTATTTATACTTACTCTGAGATAAAACCTAAACCGCTATGGAACGCACTAATATTTGCTAAAAGAGCGCCATATTTTGAATAAAACAAAGGTGCCTCTAAATATATAACTTTGATCTCTTCATTTGGTTGGAATGAATCAACACCTAATAAATATATTAAAAAAATAAAGAAAAATATTAAATTTCTTTTCATTTTTAATATTGGTTTATTTATAGGTTATTATTATTAAATAAAATAAATAAAAAATAAAAAATAAAAAATAGGGAAATCCCTAAAAAATAATATAAAAAAAATAAAAAAAAAATAAAAAAAAAATTAAATAAAAATAAAAAAAAAATTTATCGTAAAAAGAGAATAAATAATCATGATATTTTTCTTTATTTAAGTATTTTGATAAAAGGCTTTTTATTAATTAATTAAGCATCTAATTTCATTTTAAATTATGAAAAATAAAACCATTCAAGGTTATAAAAATCAAGAAAATAGGTAGCTCCTCAATTAACACCCACCTTTCAATGCAATTTTGCTAAAAATCAAGTTTTCGATTTGGTTTTAATGGAACTCTAGAGCTACTATTGTATGTTGGTCATCATAATAGATAAATACTTTGAAAAACTTAAGGACGATTCAAACTTTAAGGGTAATAAAGTAGTAGACGAAATGAACCCAAATTTAAATTTAAAGTATATCTGAGGAATAAAAAAATAAATAAAAATAATTAGGTTTAAAATTGTTTTAAATTTTTATTTCTTTCTAACTCGTCATGTTTTAATTTAAGTAATTTTAAAATTATTTCACTTTTTTCGTTTTCTTTGGTTATTTGTATTATTTCGTCCATAACACTCTTCGTATCCTTTAATACTTGATTTCTTGTGTCAAAATAATCATTTATTAGTTCTACACACTCTAGTTTTAATTCTGAAATCTCCTCTTTTGATGGTTTTTTTTCTTTTTCTAAATATGGCAATACGGAATTTAATAAATCTATCTTTTTTTGTGTTTCTACTATTTCTCTTTCAAGTTTGCCAATTTCTCCACCATTGTCTAAATAAAATTTTTCTTCTCGTTTCTTTTCTAATGAGGAATTTTTGTTATTTTCTAAAATTAAATTACCAATACTTGTAATCCCTTCAATGGATTTTAAACATTTCATTTCTGATTCGATATAATCTCCATCAAAAATATTTTCATTATCATTGAGTGGCTCGAATTCAAAACCAAATGCCTCCTCCATATCTTTAAACCTAAATGTAAAAAGAATTAATATTAATATATATACATTTATCCTTTTATAAAAAAATATTTACAAAATATTTTTTTCATCAATATCACCAAAACCAAATTTTTTTATTTTATGTTCTTCAATTTTGGAATAATACCCGCAATCGGTTAATTTTTTTTGATATTTTTTCATTTCTGATTCGAAACTATCAAATAAATCTTTTGAAGATTTATCTTTACTTGGTGATGAAAATTTATTCTCACACCTATCCAAATAAACTTTTGAGTATGAATATGTTCCTGATTCATTTAACTCTTCACGTAAAATTTCAAAATTATAATTGATCTCTTCCAAAACAGCTTTTAATTTTTCGTTTAGATATTCCTCTCCAGGGATTTTTTCTGGTAAAATGTAAACTGAACTCTAAATATGACAATAAAAAATAATTAACAATTAAAACTTTAAATAAATAAAAACTAATAATACTTACAATCGAATAATATGGAAATAAAAAACTGTTATATGAATTTTCAGAAAAGTGAAAAATATGGGGAGTTGAAAGATATCTTATATATATCTTTGAATTTGTAAATTTTTTGATTTCGTTTGTGATGTCTTTAACCTCAACACATTGATGACTATTGTGGTCAAGTAAAAAATTATAAAAATGAATTTTTCTTTTTTGAATAAAATTGGTTTTAAAAACTTCAAAAAGGGTTACACCTTTATGCTTCAACAAGTCTTCTATTTCTTGAACTTCACTTTTTTCTACTGTAAAACCTTTTTCTTGTAATGACTCAACATTGCTAAAAGCTGAACATAGAAAATAAGTTTCTGCTAAATGCAAATGATGTAACCTCTCCTCTAATAAACCATAAAATTCTGTTCCTCTGGCTCTATCTGGATATAATTTGTTGTCTAATAAAGTTATACTTGATGATAATTCAAAATCAATAACTAAAATAAAATCAGTAATTATTAGTTTTTTTTTTTTTTTTTTTTAATAATTACCCCTTAAATATGGTGTTTGATCTAAAAAAACGGGCGGGAGAAGAACAGTATTATCTAATTTAACATCTCTTTGAAATCTTTTAACACTATGCCCAAAACTTAAAAATACAACATATTGACAAAAAATTGATTTTAAAAGATGATTTGAATCATCACTTGGTTCATTATCGTTTTTATAAAATTTAATTTTTGATCCCTTTTCTAATAAAATAATGTTTCTATCATTTTTTTTTGACTATTGAAAATTAATATTTTTACACACAGCACAGATAGTAGTAGCAGTAATATTACTTACCGAGTTTAATAATAATATTAAATTTGGGTGATATGAAAGTTCTTTTAAAGCTTTTACCTCTTCATCTCCTTTATTTTCCTTATTTTCAATATTTTCAACATTTTCTTTATTTTTTTTATTTTCTCTTACTATATATTTAATTACAACAGGTTTTTGATCTTTTTCTCTTGTCCCAAACACAATAATATTTTCTCTTTTAGTAACTTTTTCTATTTTTATATGATCATATTCAAACTTTAAAATACTATTTACCACTAAATCATTGAAATCCTTAATATCTTCAAAGTTGTCAAATTCTATATTATCCATCAATTATTTTAATTCACTATGTGACATAAAAAATATATAAAAATAATGAAAATAAAAATAAAAAAATATTTTTGAAAAAAAAAAAATTTTAAAATCTGGGTAAAAAAAAAAAAATTTTTAAGTTTTGTAAATTTGTTTTTACTTAAAAAAAAAAAAATGGTTTATTTATTAAATTATTTGTTTGTTTTTTTTAAAATTTTATTTTTTTGTTTATTTATTTATAAAAATTATTAAAATTAATTAAATTCAAGTTGAAATAGATTTACTTTTTTTTTTTTTTGATTTTTAACACCAACAGAGAAATAGGACAACAAAAAGATCAGTACTATACAATGATGGGGATATTATTATTGTTATTATTATAATTTATTTATTGTTTTTTATTTTTTATTTTTTATTTATTATTAATTCTTAATTAACTTCACTCTAACATTGTTGGTATTCTAGTATTCATTAAATATGAAGTTGATGGACCATTACTATTTGGGGTACTATCTGTATCTTTAACTTGCCCTACTACAAAAGCTCTCTTTACTTCCAATTTATCCTCGAAATAATCACTGGCTCGTCTATTTTCTGTATTTTCCCACCTTCGTTGAAAACAAAATATTTATATTGTACAAAGCATGATTCAGTAGCAAAACCAATATTAACATCCCAAATATTTCCAATATTTCATGTCATTCTCTTTGCCTTCAATGGATCCCATTCTCCTAACTGCGGGATGTGATCCAATATAAACCATTGTGAAAGTAACATTATTACCACAATAATTAAAAAAAATTAATTTTTATGTGTATTTGTAAATATGTATATATTTCGCAATAAAATTTCAATAATTGATCATTTTCAATAATTGATTTAAAAAAATAAAAATTAATAAAAATTAATAAAAATTTAAAAAATAATAAATTTTAGTATTACGAAAAAAACAGGTTTTTTTTTTTTTTGATTTTTTTTTTAAATTTTTTCATTTAATTTTTTTTTTTTTTTTTGATTTTTTTTTTTTTATTAAAATATTTATTTATTATTTACTATTATTATTGTAAAATTAAATAAAGTAATATAATGGAAATTCAATTAATTAATACAAATGAAAGATTTATTTTCATTAATAATCAAAATAATAAATCAAGTTTATTTTTAAATAAACCAGATAATAAAGTATCTATTGGACCATTCGACAAGGTAAATGAAGAAAAAGAAAGAATATTATCACAATTGTCAATCAAAGGTATTATTGGTATTATTCAATTAGTATCAGGATACTATTTAATGGTTTTCAAAGATAAGAAATTAGTAGCAACTGTTATGGATAAAAAGATATTCCAAATGAAAGATATTGAAGTTATTCCATTCCATGCAAATCAATTATCATTAATCAATATCCCAGATCAAGATTCCGAAGAAAATCATTTATCAATGATCAAGTGGTTATTGTCATCAGAATATTTCTATTTCAGTTATGACTATGATCTTACCCATACTCTTCAAAGACAATATGAAATGCCAGAGCAATCACGTAAAGCTTCAATTTATGAACGTTGCGATGAACGTTTCTTTTGGAATGAAAAATACACCCGTTTCCTTGATGACGCAAGCGGTAAATTTGATGACTGGATTCTTCCAATCACTATGGGTTTCGTCGAATCAAAGAAATTGGGCAAATTTGACTTTACTTTAATCTCTAGAAGAAATTTACATCGTTCAGGTACCCGTTACAATGTACGTGGTATTGACAAGAAAGGTAATGTCGCCAACAATGTCGAAACAGAACAAATCATCCAAGTCAATAGTAATACTCTCACCTCATTCGTTCAAGTTAGAGGTTCAATTCCATTATTATGGTCTCAATTCCCAACTCTTAAATATAAACCAGCTGTCAAATTCTATGGTAATGAAAAAGATAACACTCAATCATTACAAAAACATTTCGATCAACTCCACAAACTCTATGGTCCAACTACAATCGTAAATTTAATTGATCGTAAAGGTGCAGAATTAAAACTAGGTGAAGCCTACGAAAAGAATGTCAAATCACTTAAAGATACTAAATACATTTGGTTCGATTTCCACAGCATTTGTAAAGGTATGAGATACGATAAACTTTCAATTCTTATGGATCAACTCGCCGATGATATCAAGCAATATGGTTTCTTTTATCTCGAAAATGGTAAAGTTGTCAAAAAGCAAAATGGTGTTTTCCGTACCAATTGTATCGATAATCTTGATCGTACCAATGTAGTTCAATCATTAATCACTCGTCATTCATTAGCCAACCAACTTTTACACGTCAAAGAGTTCCCAAGTGATCTTTTCAAAGGTGATTCATTCGAATATGTTTTCAAGAATGTTTGGGCTGATCATGGTGATGCCATTTCAACTCAATACAGTGGCACAGGTGCTTTAAAGAACGATTTCACTAGAACTGGTAAAAGAAATTTCCAAGGTGTTCTCCGTGATGGTGAAAACTCTGTAATGAGATATTACTTAAACAACTTTAAAGATGGTTTCAGACAAGACAGTTATTTCTTATTTACAAATGATGTCGATTTAACAGTACCAAAGCAACACGAATCCAAACCACCATCACCATTAATTTGGATCTCTTCTTTGGTTTTAGCTTCAGTTGCAATCTCATATCTTTATTTACCATCTGCAACATCAGGTGCTACAGGTTTATTAGCTCAAACCATCACTATTGCTGGTTCAATTTATATCGCATTAAAATTAGCTATGAAAAATCAATCAAAAATTGTCGATAAACCAACTTTATTCGAATTGGATTCAATTTATAATTAAATAAATAATAAAATAATAAAATAATAATAAATAATAAATAATAAATATAAATAAAATTAAATGTATTAAAAGGTAAAACTAAAGAATCGAAATTCTATAAAAGAAAAGAATAATCTTTAAAAGAAAATTAAAATTATTTATAAATTTTGTATATTAATATATAATTATATTAATTTTTTTTTTTAAAATTTACATGTATGATTTATTGTTTAACTATTATACAAATAAAATTTTTTAATATTTTATTGGGTTGTTCAAATGGTAGTTTAGGAAATTAAATGATATTTTTGCAACCTTTTCTAATGCACCATTTTCAGGGAATAGATGGGAAGAGTTTGCAATTATTTCTAGTTTTTTTGATTGGCAATAGTGCATACTATCTAGAGATTGTCTATTTATATCTATAGTTTCTTTATCATCACCTCCACAGAGTAGTAAAATAGGTGTATTCAATAGTCCTAAAGAGTTTCTATTACATAACGACAATCTTCCACTTCTTGATACAATCGAGTTTATATTGATTCCTAATGATTTTAATTTTCCTTCACTTTCGATAATACCAGCACTTCCGGTACTGGAACCGTACAAAATAATTGGTAGTTCTATAATAAATAAAAAATTATGGTTAATATTAATATAATAATTTTTTTTTTAAATTTTAAAGATAAATACTTTTTAGTTTTTGATTAGAGTTTATAAATTGGGTTGCTGATATAATTCTTTTTGAAATAAAATTTACATTGTATTTATATTCTCCAGTAATATTGTTTAAACGTTCTTCTTGTGGGGTCATTATATCAAATAATAAAGTAGAGAAACCCAACGATTGGAAAAATTTCGATAGATAGAGATTTCTTGGACTAAATCTACTGGAGCCTACACCATGTACAAATATCATAATCCCTTTAGATAGTTCGTTATAATTTAAAATACCTTCTAAATAGATTTCTTCACTTTTAATTGTCACATATTCTTTTATAAAACTTAAATTATCAATAACTTTAATATTATTGTTGTTTTTATTTTTACTATTATTATTGTTTATATTATTAGTGTTATTAGCACTATGATTTAAATCTAGATTATTGTTAATATTATTAAATTGTGAATCGTAAAAATAAAAGTTGTTTATTGGTTGCTGGTTTGTAGCTGAGCTAGAAGATGAGGACGATTTAAAACTACCATTAATTGAATTATCTCTGTTGGTATTTATGTGGCTTGATGTATTGGCAGTTTCTGCACTACAAAAATTATTATTATTTTTATCACCATCATTATTTTTTTTTATATCATAATTAATATTATTTTTTTTATTATTATTATTATTATTGTAATAATAATATTCTTCCATTTTTTATTTTATTTTTATTTTTAATTTTATTTTTATTTTTATTTTAATTTTTTTATTTTATTTTATTTTATTTTATTAAACAAATTATATTTTAAAATAAATCACAACAATTATTTTTAAAAATAAAATATAAATAAAATTTATAAAATGTGATGTGTGAAATTATTTATTTTTTGTTTAAATATTTGATTTTAAAATTATATATCTTATAATTTTATATCATATATGTTTAATAAAAAATATAAATGCTTTTTAAAAAAAAATATGATTTTCTTTTAATTAATTTGGAAATTAAAATATAGGTTTGATAGATTTTTTTTTTTTTTAAAATTTTTTATTATAATTATTATTGGTTTATTAGATTTTAATTTTTTATCTTATAAATTTGGAACAATAAAAAACAAAAAAACTTGGAAATACCCTAAAAAGTATAAAAAAATAAAAA